ATATTAATATTATTTTTAAATATTTAAAATTAACTAATTTTAAAATTTAGTTATATAAATTAATATATTAAATAATATTAGCTATATATTTTAATATTTTATTAATATAAGTTTTAATAAATTTATTAAATTTTATAATAATATTAATTGCTAATAGTTATATTTTTTTAAAAATTAATAATATAGTACTTTTTATAAAATTATTATTATTTTAAGTTTTTTATATTTTAAGATTTTTTTTATATTAATTAATTCGTTTTTATAAAAAAGTTTATTTAATATTTTTATAAATAAAAAACTTTAATTTAATTTTAATTTTAAATATAAATATAGTATTATTTAAATTAATATAATTTTAAATACTTTATATTATAATTTAAAGCTTAAATTTATTGTATTATTTTAATTAGTTATAACTAGTTTTTAAAATTGTTTCAACATTTTTTTCAATTTTTTTAAAAAATATAATAAAAATATAAAAAAAAATATGTTAAAAACAAATAAAAGTTTTTAAAATAATATAAAAATAAAATAAAATAAAAATATTTATAACAATAAAAGTTAAAATTGTTTATTAAAAAAAATATTAGTTTAATAAACAAATTAAACTTATAATTATTATATATTAAAATATAATCAAGTTTAATAAATAAAATTAAACTAGTATAACTAAAACGATTTTAAAAAATATATTATAATAAAACTTACTAAATATTTTAATTACTTTAACTTTTTATTTTTTAAGCTTTATATATATATATATACTTTTAATAAATATTAATTTTAAATTTAACGTTTTATTTTTAAGCTTTAATTTTATAATTATTTTTATTTGCTTATAATAATAAGTATTTATAATAAATAGTAATTTTAACAAGTAATATTATAAGCAGTAGAAAAACTTCTACAAAAGCTTCTTTTTAAGCTCTTTTATTAAGTAAGCTTACTTAAGTAGATCTTATAACCTGATTTTTTAAGCTCGCCTTACTAGACCCACTTATACTATCACATTCTTTTTTATACATCCAACCTCTATATAAGCTATACAGTATAAGAAGTTTGTCTTAATTTAAATTCTCTACATCAAATAGGAACTTGTTAACTAGATTAGAAGTATCGAGCTCAGAGCGACACTATTCTCACTCCAAGGGCCGTGTAACGTTCTAAGAAGCGCAGAATTGAACAACTAAATTCAAAATGGCTTGGTGGTCTAGTGGTATGATTCTCGCTTAGGGTACACCTGAAAGCAAATTTGCGAGAGGTCCCGGGTTCAATCTCCGGCTAAGCCCAATGTGAGGAATACTTGTATACTTAAACATCTTCGTAATCTCTATCTCGATTGGTCTAGTGGTAAGGATACCTGCTTGTCATTAGAAAGCAATTCGCAGGTGGCCGGGGTTCGATTCCCCGATCGAGAGTTTCTTAAACTTGAACACCTCCTTTTTTGTTTAAATTCGGTAAACGTGAGCAATCCATGTTTATGTAAAGCAAGGCTGCTTCTCCAGTCACAAACTGCATCGTGAAGTATCTCGCTCAAACATAAATGCACGCTGAAGGTAAAACCTCGACCAACGTTATCTTGCTGGGGTATGCTCTCGGTGCTTAAGGACTTTGGAAAACACCATCCTGTTTGTAACTGAATGTTCACAGAGTAAATATAAGTACTGTAGCAGCTAGGTAGAAGGGTGTAGTATAGGGCTCAATGAATAGATTCATTGATGCCTGACCTCCTAGATCTATAAGGGGGACCGAAGGTCCCTTATATAGCCGAATCCGTAGATATAACCACCCTATAGAGTCTTGTTACTTTGTCACCTGATATTAAACTTTTGCCTGTAAGACGAGACTCTAAACTAAGATAATATGTTAGTATTTTACCTATGTGTAGCGCTAGAAACTATGTATCGCAAATTATATAGCTAATAATACACTTCTAAATCTATATACCACGGATCTTTCATAGGTGTCAAGGAATGCTATTCAGATAATACCGGCTATCGCACCTTGTCTAGTTAACACTTGTAGCATAATCAATAGACCGTACAACTCTTTAGGTAAGATATTAAGCGAAAATAGATAATAAGCGGACAAAAACCGCCGGATATATTATTCTCACGAGAATGGGAGGCCACGTCCCCGTTTACGATGTAAGCTTTCAGCATGAAAGCATAACAAGGACAACCATAAAACCACGGGAAATTTACTAGGGCGATGATGCATCTTTGTATATACATCTAACGTGTACTAAAGCAGCCTTACCTATTAAAACTTTGAGGGCACCAATAGGCTATGTTTTAGTTTAGGTTATTAGAATAGTGATCAAGGGGCTATTTATCGCCGAACGGTGCAATATATTTTAGCTGGCATTTCGTGGCCAGGACTCAGAACCGAGGTGTACCGGTCTACAAAAGTCGTGTTCGGCCAGGTTCCCATCACTCCTTTCTTAGAATACTACAACGAGCAATTTCGCAACTACAAGGCTAGAGATGTTATAACATCAGCTGACGTGAACGACTATAAGCGCTAGAGAACCCCTCGATAAAAACTTAGAGGGTATCGGCACTCACATGGATATTTGATCGGAAATCCTGTTTAGGTTGAACAGTGGCCGTAAGAAAGAGCACGGTATGGTATAAGTGCAGCTTGTGTTTTCTATACCTAAGGTAGTCATGATTATCTCCATTTTACTGTTTCCGCCAAAGTCCTATGTAGAAGAGTTCGCTATCAAGCAGATAGCCCAGATTAATCGCTGATAATAAAACGACTCTATCAGCTACCATGAGCCTGATTACTGCTATGATTATTATAAGGTAATGATCGAGGCGAAGAATCACTAAGATTTTTTAAGAGGGATGCGAAATACCAGGACAAGTTAGAGTCTGAAAGCTGATGGAACGGATCATGTAAACCACTTCACCGCACCTTAGAGGCTTGATCATAATCATATAAGGATTTTCCATGGGGACTTCTAGTAAATTGTTATAAGTTGTTAAAAACTTAATGACATGCTGGGTTTAAGTTCTAGCCCTAGGAAGGGAGTAAATTAGCGAGGTATATATCGAAAAATTCAACGAAAATAATTACTGTGTGACTTGATATTAACCCGCACTGTTACCATGATCCTTTTGGTTTCTGTACCCTGCCAGATATTACTTACGATCTTCGCAGTTTAGGGCCAAGTATAGTCATGACGAGGGGAATACGATATTATTCTAGTGTACCGTCTAAAGTAAGATATTCTCACGTCGAGCACTTGACTCTCTACTTTTGATCATGTGTCAACGATCGGAACCATGCTAGTCACCAAGCGCTCTGCAGCGCCAATCAGATAGCGTGGTGGTATTATAAGCTTTGCCCTTGGGATATGAAGATTTTATCAGTAGGAGAATGGCTATAAACCTTCGCTTATCTTATGCAAATGCTGACCTTTTGGCATCACAGCTGCGAGATCTAGGACTGTCATTTCAGGGATCTGAAATTAGAGTTAATTACAAAGGAAATCTCTTCTAATAATCGGCCTTTCACTAGAGAAACTGACATTTGCTTAGTTGAGAATGTAACTTTTAACTAAGACTGACCATTTTCGTAGTTTCTGGATTGTATGTAAATGTGGCTTGTTTAGGAACTATTGTGGATTTATTTATTCACGCCGTCCGCATCACTTCCATCCATCCGGACTAAACAGATGAATATGCAATGGGATTGGAAGTGAGGTTACCTAACCTTATTCTTCTGTCTATGTCTGCTAGCCTAGGCTTTTTCGGTCAACAACACGCAGAATCCACATTCAATAAGAACTAGAGTGAAACCTAGTCTTGTGTAACCGAGCTCGATGTTGCTATCCGTAACCCTGACGTCAGCTTACTCCATATTAACTCAGCTGCGCACTATATGTCTCTAAGTGGTTATAGCCTATCCAGCGCCTCATGACCAAAGGTCCGAATAGAGTCGATACGGTTGAAATCCTCTAGGACTAGCTGAAGATGACTAACTCAAGTTCTGATGTCAGGCGATAGTTACCTAATTAGCCACGTTCTACGCCAAAGTCGGCTTTATACTATATCGCCTCAGAATTGCTACTCGAACTATGATAATATGTGATATTGTCACAAAAGGGATACAAATAATTCAAGAGTAGCATATTTCACAATCAATACGAGGTTATTTATGCCCACCGTGACTTCCTTTTGTTTTGTTTTACGCTCCCGTCTTCTCTCGTGGCTTAGTGGTACGCTTGCGATCTGCATCTCACCTCACTATGGCTTTCTATTTCACTTCGATGCTGGAAAGGACCCCTGTGAGCCGGAACTACTACGCCTCAGCCCTACTTACTCTGCCAATTCTAGTCATATGACCGATTTATCCAAATTTTCGTATCATCCGATGTCGCTACCGTGCTCAGATTACCGGGTATGATTCGTTAGTGAGTTTTTAATCTAATATCAATAACCTTTTATTTCTATGATAGGACTCGGTTCCAACGAGTATAAATTCCCCGTTGGCACCCGCGCTTGGCAAAGGATAGAACCACCTTGGCATCATCCTATTCCCAAGCTTTACCTTCAAAACAAGCTTTCTATCAACCGATCCTATATATTAGGTCCTCAATAGTGAATCAAGATGCAGTCCTTTACCCAACTCGCCCTTCTCGCCCTGGCCTTTGGACAGGGGTAAGATTCCGTGCTCCTTTCCAATCATCACAACATATTCCCACCCCATCACAACTTATTATAATACGAAGCCTTTGCCTCTTCCTGTACTAACATCCTGTCAGTGCCTTTGCAGTCCCTGCTCCAGCTGTGACCAGCTTCCCAGGAGCCTACGTGTGCCCAACTGGGTACAAAACTATCACTAGCACAGCGAGGCACACGGGCATTGTGTGCTTTATCGAGTGCGCTCCCCCTACCAGCACCTGTAAACCAGGACAGCTACCTCACAGCCCATACCCGTCCACCACAACTACTCTGGCCCCATCATGCACTGTGGAGGTGATCGTTGAGCCGCCAATCTGTGGCCAATGCGACACGTGCCAGCCTGGACCTACTGCCCACCCCTAAATTCTGTTAGCAGAAATGAATTTCTGGAGGAATAAGCCTTGGGTCGGATATTTATACACTGTTCTGGTTGGATTACGACAATGTTAAACCTAGATAAGAGAACCTTAAAGCAAGGAGCATAAAATACCTACCTATATGAAATCGGTCAAGACCCTTCGAATAGAACAAATGCCCATTCTTGTATCGCTTTGTAACTTTGAATTATCATAAAGTTGTTTCAAATATCAAACTAATCCTGATGATGGCTAGTAGAGGAAATAGTTTAGAACATTGTGGCGTTGTTGCAGTACTAGTTCTCAGCTGTTGACTATAAGAGATTAATACAATCTACTGGCCCCTGGAACATGCAGCAAAGCTAGGCTTATGTACTCTGTACACGTCTCTTCACGTCGGTTCACTCGTATCCAGTAACCTCCGTGTTTTCAACCTACGAGATCCTTGTCCTTTTTTTCTTTCAGAAATAGGGGCCCGTTACCGATATGTTGAGACTCGAAATTTTGGCTAGCTTAGGAAATGAAAATATTGGGGCTGATTGGCTTGCAGAGACACCCTGGAGCTGAAGTGCCTACGGCAAAACAGAATCCCAGCAGCTAGGGCTGAGGGGCCGTATAACAGGAAGCACTTCCGATAGGACGCACGCACTCACTGCTACATGAGTCAGCCGCGACTTTAATACCGGCTTTTCAACATTGGGAACGGAATGATCCTACCGGGCGCCGATTCAACTCGTATTTTCAAGCCAGTTGGCGCCGCGGCTCTCTCCGCATCAATTCGAACGACCTAGACTTCGTCCGCTCCACGTGGAGAACTTAATTATCCCGTGCTGCGATCCGTGGAGAAACCGTGGCGGAATATTGGATGCCAAATGGTAGGGATCATATAGGACTTGCTTGCTGCGCCGTATCAGGCTTTCCGAGCATCCGGACATGTTCTATTTTTGACTCGAGTAATCACGGGGAAAGGCCGCGAGCGTGTTCTAAATATCAGCACACCGAATGCGAATGCGTCACGCCCCGGACTAGCTCGAAATTTCCTCCTAGACGGGGAACGGAACGTTTCTCCCGAGCGCTGTCGTAACCCATCGCACCGAGCGTCTCCCTCACAATATTATTGCTTGACCAATTCCTAGACGGATGTACTCGGTTGGAAAAGTGCAGGAATAGCGTATTGCTAGCTCTGTCAATCACCACCGAAGTACCCGTGGATCTTGTATGACTGGCCGACAGCGGATTGGCCATCGGGCCAGCAGTGTAGTATTGATTCAGCTCGAACCCGACGCCGTGGTATGCCGCGCTGCCAAAACGAGCATTAAAGTTCGTGAAAATAAGATCAACCGACTCCTTAGATATGATGCGCTTGCC